GCATGTGAATTTTTGAAAATCCAGGCAAGTATAAAGAACATTTATAAATTCTACTATTCCAAGATAACCATCATGAAGAACTTAGTGTATTTCCCTCATGTAATTTTTATGCAAGTGTACTTTTACATTGTTGCTACAATACTACAGGTACAATTTTATATTTTTATAGTTCTTATTTAGTGTTATCTCATAGGCTTCTCACTTCATTAAAATCATTTAACAAATATTAAAATTTAGTATTGAATATTTAGATATTTTCCAGTTTTATTCATTTGTGCGCTTATATAAAGAAATGCAGTAAATATCTAATACTTTAATATCTATCTGCATTATAAGGCACAGCCTTAAGATAAATTTAAAAAATAGACTTACTGGGTCAAAGGACGTGGTTACTTTAAGATTCTTGATACTTAGTGCTGAGACACTTTTCAGGAAGATCAGTACCCTAGAGCAGCTCACTGATGTTTTAAAGCAGAGAGAAACTTGTGTTTATTCATTATCTACGTGTAAGTAGCCCCAGAAGAAAGGGGTATAGATTAACAGCGTAGGAATGATGAAGCTACACCCCTGAACAGGTAGGTAAGGGTAGAAAGCAGAGCACGAGAAGATGCTGTGTTCCCTGATGGAGGAAGAAAATAGTTTGGGTTGGGCATGGCTGTGACCAGGTGTGTGTATATGGGTGTGTGGGTGTGGGAGGAGGTGAGGAAACCCCACACAATGGCTTTTATCCTCTGCTTACAGTCAGGGAGTGAGGATGGAGATAGGAAATATGAGGGGCATGGTAGTGACTTGGAATAACCCATGGTGGGGATAGAAGGCAGAGCTCTTGCCCCTTTACGTGAGGAGGGACATGGGAAACGTTTCCAGATAACACTGGAGATTCAGCTGAGTTGGGATATCATGCATTTATATTAGCACCAATCTGTGAAGACTTCTATGAATTTTCTCAGGAGTACCTGGAGCCTTGGTAAAGAAGCAAACATGAGAATAGCTGAACTAATGCTGTTTGTAAATTTGCAAATTGGGTGCAGAGGTTGGAAAAGGGGCTAAAGAGCTGAGAATCTTAGCTGTAGTGTTGTTTAAGTGATGTCTACTGTGATCCAGGTTGTCAGGGGAAGGCCTAACCGGTTGATGGAATTGGAGGAAAGGAACATATTCTATGTTTTTATATTCGCATCCAGATCCTGAAATACAGGCTAGTCCTGAAAAGGTGATATTCATCGTGTGACAGTGTTAGGGTCAGGAAAAGGTTCCTGGGTCTCTCTCTTCTTGGAAGCTGGTTGTGGGTCCGTTTCATGGGTTTAGGTCAGGAGCAGGGAGATTTGCAAACATTAAAAACCAAAGCTTCTATTGGAAGCCTTTACTGTTCATCTTTAACCAGAAGTAAGATGCTACCAGTGGTTCAGTGCAGCAAAGTAAGTGGATTGTTACTAGGCTGCTGCATGCTTTCCCTCAAAGACCTAACAGAGCTTATATAGTAGCCGCCCTGGATGTAGTTTTTTGTGTTCTGGGTCAAAGTGAGAATTTTGGGCTGGGACCAGTTAGTTCAAGGATTGCTTTAGTGGATACACTGAGGACAAGGAATGCTTGGACTAACCTGACATGTTTGGAGTTGAGGGATCATCTCTAGTAGAACTAGACCCCTTAAGAAGGACGCCGACAGAAGTGGCTCCTTCTGGGTGGGGGTGAGGGGACTTGTGGAGCCAGGTGTCCACTTGAAGACAAAGATTTAGGCCTAATGTAAGAAGTCAGTGCTGCTCAACACACTTCACTGGGTTTTATGGTTATTTCTGGAGTTGGTTTCCCCTGGGAGAGTATTCCCAGTCTCTCCATTGCTCTTCTCAGCAACATTATTGAAAGGAATGTCTGGGTATTATTTTCTAAAGTCAGATGAAGTTTGTTTATGACATCAACTTGAATATAAGTTGGCTCTTAGTAAATATTGAAAAGGCCCTGTGCTTGCCTTTTTTTTTAAACTACTCTCAAGCTAATGCTAGTCAAAAATATTTGACTAACCTCTTGAAATACATTATTCAAATGTGTCTTGAATGACTAAATTGATAAATTGGATAAATTTAATTGCTAGAGGTGATGAACTCTTGTGAATCACTACAGTTCATTCTGCCAGTTCTCTAAGGCGACACCGCTAAATCTAGAGGTAACAGTCACCGCAACACAAGCTACCCTTGTTCGCACAGCAGGCCCCAGAACTTGAGAGGACCAGTCTTTCAACACTGTCATATGTGATGGAATTTTTAGATAAACTTGAGTCTATTTGTTGCTTCTACTGAATTTGGACACACTTTTACATTTCATATGGGCTTTATGGATGTGTGTATCATGTTCCTGATCATCCTCTCTCCGAATTCGTTGTTAGAATGAAAAATTGTTCTTTGTTCATTGTTTTACATTGCTAATCCATGCTAAGAAGGCAGGCACCTGATCCTAAAATGAGGTTGCAACACAGAACTAGAAAGTAATCCACCATTAAACTCAGCTGTAGTTCCAGCCTTTCATGGGAGCTTTGAGAATTGATCTGGATGTACCAATTTAGAAGTAGTGTTTAGCCTATGGAGAAATCCCAAAGGCCCTCAACAATGATGATTATTAGGTCACAAAATAGAACCAATAGGAGAGGACATAAAACCGGTGTTGTTTCTTCTGGAGGGAAAAGACTAAGAGTAGACGTAAAGGCTGTCTTCAAATATATGAGGCTGCCTGGGTGATGCAATTGGTTAAGCACTTGGCTACTAACTGAAAAGTTAGTGGTTCGAGTCCACCCAGAGGTGGCTCAGAAGAAAGGTCTGGTCGTCTACTTCTGAAAAGTCACAGCCATTGAAAACTGTACAGCATACAGTTCTTCCCTGACACACATGGGGTCGCCTTGAGTTGGAGTCGACTCCGCAGTGAGTTTGGTTTTATTTATTTTTGGTTTTAAATATGTGAAACTCAGGATAGGGATACATTTCTGCTTTTTGTATACTCTGTGAAGAAAATAAGGGAAAATTGGCTTAAATTGCAACAGAGGAGATTTTAGGGTAGATGGGAAGAAAACATTTTCTGACAGGAAAGGCAAAGTGAACTACCAAGCAAGAGTGCTGATTTCATTTCTCTACTGGAATTCTAACTAGTCACTAGACATTGGATTGAATAATCTCAATTCATTGGTGATCAAAAGCTAAACCTTTCCCTCAAGATCCTGAGATTTTATGATTTGATAATCATATAATTTTGTACTTTTAGACTGTTAGCCACTTTTATGGTTATTATCTCTGCTTGGAAGCAAAAATACCTTTCTTGGTATGATTCTAAGACAATAGTTACTATGTTCCATTATTGAATTATTTATACCTGCGCTGACAGTGAAATGGGTATTTAAGAAAATGCTGTGTTCTAAACAGATATTTAAAATTCCTGACTGAGGGCCATTTTTCTTAAAGCTTCTAGATGAACAAGGCTTTTAACTTGGTTTGTCTTCTATTGCTGCCGTCTTAGCCCTCAGATCCTCCTTATAACTGCCATTTCCTTTCAAAGACTGAAAAGAAACTTAATAGAAACTATTAAGAGGACCTCAAATTCTGTGGGTTAGGGGTAGAGGAAGCTCTGCGACAAGAACTTGCTTCATTTGGCCTCAGATATCACCACCTAGTGAGTTGTTACGGTTTATGCCATGATTTTCGAACCAAATCCCTTCAAGAAAATGAGTTCAGTGTTTTATATCTAAAAAGATTTTTTTTGTTGTTAGTTTTAAAAAAAAAATTTAGTAAATAGTTTTGGTTTCCAGTATATGTTGTTTCCTCCATGACACAATTAACCAAAACAATGAATTTTGTTTGTTAAAAAAAAAAAAAATCCCACCCCAAAATAGATTCTAAACCTGATCTTTTAATACTGTGGATTGAGAAAACTTAATCTGTCATAAAATTGACAGTTTCTGAAAATCAAATCCACCCTACCTCCAAGGAACCAAAGTAAACTTCTAAATGTCACAATGTCTTCCACGTGTGTAAAGCTTATAAAATTTCATTGAAATATGAATCTTTACTTCAAATACACATTTTGAGACTTCCTTGAAAATAAAGTCAGGGTGCTTCCTGGTGTTGGAAGCACACACCATTTAAATTGTTTAAAAATCCGTTCTGATGCCAAAGACAATTGTAACTTGAGATGATTGATGCTAAAGCTCTGAGCCCAGTATGCCACCACCAAAAAAAAAAAAAAAAAAAAGAGAGACCGAACCCATTGCCATCCAGTTGATTCCGACTCATAGCAAGCAACCCTATAGGACCCAGTAGAACTGCCCCATAGGGTTTCTAGGCTGTAATCCTTATGGAAGTAGACTGCCACATCTGCCTCCCACAGAGTGGCTGGTGGGTTTGAACCACTTACCTTTCAGTTAGCAGCCGAGCGACTTCACCACTGCACCACCAGGGCTCCGAAGTATGCCACAAGATGTATTAAAGAGCTTACATTTGATGCTTGTGTTCTCACTCTTTGCCCTTGCTTCGTCCTTTCCTTTCCTTACTTCTCCTCTCCCTTTTTTTATGTTCTCATTATGTTTCTGTGATTGTGATATGGAACTGGTATGTAATTTTTATTTAAGTAAACTCATACACTGTTCTTAATGGTTTTTTGGCTTGTGAAGGATAAATTTTATGTTTTCTCAAAAAAGTTACACACTTTCTTGGTTTTTTTTTCCCTCTAATGGCTCCGTGGTTCTTAAAAGGAGTTAAAAAAGAAACCCCAAAACAAAAAAAAACCTGACCTGACTTACCTTCCCCTAACATAATTATGCTATATTTATGATGTACACATTTCTCTTTTCTCTGAATGGCTAATAGTAATAACTTGTCAGATGGGCTAGTTTTCATGCTGGTAAGTATTTTAAAATATGTTCAGGATTATGTGCCTTTGCAAATCATGCCACTGAAGTTCAAGGTCTACTCAAAATGACTTGGTTGACCAGGCTCTGGTTTTGCCCCATGCTTTATTTGCTCTAGATACATTTCATGTTACTCTTCAGTCGACAAGGAAAATTACGGCTGCAGAAATGGTACACCACCCTCCCGGACAAAGAAAGGAAAAAGATCACCCGGGAAATTGTTCAGATTATTCTCTCTCGTGGTCAGAGGACAAGCAGTTTTATTGACTGGAAGGAGCTAAAACTTGTTTATAAAAGGTGTGAGTAACTTTATGAGAACTGAAGTTCAAATTTTTGCTTGGGTTTATTCTAATCCTGAACATTTTAGATTGTAACACCAATCTCTTCATTGACTAAAATTTTTGAAAACTGGGGCCCAAATATGTATACCAACAAATTAGAAAAGAATTCTTATTCATTGATTATGCCTTCCATGTACCAGGATGGCACATTATCATACACATTGATAATGCATGTATGCATTTGACAGTTATTTTTTGAGCACCGATTATACTCCTGGTGCTGTTTTAAAGGCTGGGGATACTGCACTTCACAAGACACAACATTCTTGCTCTCATGAGCTTACTTACTTGTTAAACTATTTTAACTTAGTAACAAATACTATGGAAAAAAATGTAGGTTCATGTCATAGAGAGATGGAGACTACGCTTGATTAACCAAAAAAAAAAAAAAACCTGTTGCCGTTGAGTCGATTCCAACTGATAGCAACCATATAGGACAGAGTAGAACTGTCCCGTAGGGTTTCCAAAGGAGTGACTGGTGGATTCGAACTGCCGACCTTCTGGTTAGCAGCCGTAGCTCTTAATCACTGTGCCACCATGTTTGATTAGACAGCTCTTATTTTAGTTATTGTTCATATTTGCAGATGAGTAAATTGAGGCCACAAGAGTATAAATAATTAGTTCCCATTCACAGTAAATGAATGGTAATTGGCAAAGCCAAGATTCATATCCAGATCTTTTCTGGCTCCAAAGACTAGTATTCTTTTTTTACTGTACCGCCTTGCCATGGAGAGAATGTCAACTTAGTGATGAGGGACCTGAAGCCCTGAGAGGTAAATTCATTTTGTCGATAAAGAACCAGATAACTGTTGCTTATGCTAGAACCAGGAGCCCCTGGGTGGTGTAGATGATTAACACACTTAGCTGCTAACTGAAAGGTTGGAGATTGGAGTTCACCTAGAGGCGCCTTGGAAGAAAGCCCTAGCAATCTATTTCTGAAAAATCGGCCATTGAAAACCCTATGGAGCAGAGTTGTACTCTAACACCCATGGGGTCGCTGTGAGTCGGAATCGACTCCACAGCAACTGGTTTTTTAAGCCAGAACCAGGGCACAGCTGACCCGACCCTGCATCTAGCATTATACTGCAACTTCCAGAAGGAAAATGCATACTAGCAATGCTCTTACAAAGGGGATTTATAAACCAAACAGGGAAAAACAGAGATGACCTCCACAGACTGATAATTGAATGGAGTAAATTACCATCAAGTACCTGGGTAAGGCCCCTTCTGATGGTCCAGGTTCAGAGCTTTTAGCACTAGCCTCCTGCAAGATGTCAGTGAAGGCTGTTTTTAATTTACCTCCCGGGGGTGGTGGCAAGACAGAATCCCAGAAAGTAATTGCCAACAGAAAGCTTGCCCCCTCTCTCTGCCTGCTGGTTTTAAAACTTAAGGTTCGTTTCTAAGTTAAATAATTGTATAAAGAATAGACTTTGGTGGTTCTCTCAACAGATACTTACAGGCACCGAGTATCCAACAGCAAACAAGGCAGACTCGGTCAGATCTCTGTCTTCATGAAACCAGTTATCTAGATGGGGGGACAGGCCTTGCAACCGACAGGAAAAAATAGATGCTCTGATGGAGGAGGCACGGGAATACATAGCAAGTACATCCAGTTTGAGAGGATAGAAATTTCCTGGAGGAAATGGCTTCCAAGCTAAGACCTAAGGAGAAATAGGGGTTAACCAGATGAACAGGGGACAGAGAAGAGTATTTTAGGCAGAAGAAACACACGCCCGAAAGCAGAGGAAGGGAGACTTGACAGGCTGGTGGTAGGGAACAGGTACAGAATGATGGGGGAATAGCATGTGAAATGAGAGGGAATGAGGCCCTGAGAGCCTGGGTCAGGGGTTCGCACTTTAGAAAGAACAATTCACAAGTACTGGAGGGGCGTGAGCTGCACCGCATTTACTGTGGGACAGAGGACTCTGACCCACTGATTATGTCTCTTCAAGGTAAAATTTTGTTGAGAGCCTTTCATGTAATTAATAGAAATAATCCAACCACCACGCTTTTACACAATCTCTTACATGTCGGGAGAATACTGGATGTGACAAAAAACTAAAATTCTTCTTGAAGGGGGAGCATCTCTGGAGAGGAGATTTTACATGTTCATTGGGAACAAAACTGTCTTCAGGTTACTTAATGTGACATCGTATTTTACTTTATATTTTTTTCTTTTCAAGGTATGCTAGTTTATATTTTTGCTGTGCAGTAGAAAATCAGGACAATGAGCTCTTGACACTAGAGATTGTGCACCGATATGTGGAGTTACTGGACAGATACTTTGGAAATGTAAGTGTTGTTCTGGTCTATCAGAATTCATCACAATCTCCATCTTTGTTCTTAACTCCAGTTCTATCTTTCATCGGATTCCTCCTCTCTCAAGTCAAAAATACATATTGCATTTGTACCAAGGATCACACTACTACCTCAAATGAGAATACAAGGCTTTCCCCCTTCCTATAATTCTTAACAAACGAAAGATCCCAAACCTTCAAGAGGCTGACAGTGTCTCACTCTTCAGACCACAGACACCCTAGAGACCTTATCAACTCACTGCCCAGTTCACTGAACTAGAACTTAGTTGTGAAGGATTCCTTGATATTCTGTCCCTTAGTCCTCATTGACTTTGCTATCTCTTTTCTAATGTGACTTCCTTTTTCCTCTCTGGCTTCTTTTTTCTAAGTTACAAGTTTTCTTTAATCTTATTTATACTTAAGCAGGGGTGGGGGGTGGGCGGGGAGCCCAAATCCTTTTTTGTTCACATTGGTGTTCAATCTTCTTTCATTTACTGCCAAGTAATATACTATACTGGGGCCCTGGTGGCATAGACGTTAAAAGTGCAGGCTCTTAACCAAAAGGTTGGCAGTTAGAATCCACCAGCTGCTCCCTGGAAACCCTATGGGGCAGTTCTACTCTGTCCTTTAGAGTAGCTCTGAGTCAGAATCGACTCAATGGCAGTGGGTTTGGTTTGATATCCTGTATCAGGTGCCCAGTCCTCAGAACTGATTCACTCCTCGACAGCTTACAGCTTGGGTTCTATCTTTATCGATCCAAGGAAATCATAAAGCTGCCATTGGCCCCTCCCTAGAGGTCAGCACCAGTAACTCTTCATAAGTCTTTACCTTCCTGGTCCTCTCTGCTGCACTGCATCCTTGCTCATCACACCTCTGTCTTTAACTTTTCTTGTCTTTGTTTTTTCCATGACACTGAGTTCTGTTGGTTCTCGTCCTGTATTTCTAAAGGTCCCTCCTTGGTTTCCTCCACTGGCCTCCCTTCCTTTTCCTGCCCTCTATTTCTCTTCCTGCTTTCCTTGTGTGGTTACCTGACTTTCTCTCCTGGAAACCCAGTCCTGCATTGCCAGGTGACTGGTCGTCACTTTGTTGGTGACGATCTTCACTGGCTTCTCACAGTCATCTCAGTCTAAATATGACAAGACCCAAAACTCATCATCTTCTGAAAACTGTCTGAGTGATTGAATTTATCATGCTCCAGTTTCCCTCATTGCAAAAGACAGTGTTTCTTTCATACTCTCTCCCCTTTGCTACAAATCTGCCTCTGTCTATTCAAACTAGACTAAGTTCATCTCCTTCTTTCCACTCTTACTAGTATAGCTTTACTTGGGATTTCAGTTTTGTTTTTCTCTATTGACCTTGTATTTGGCCCTTTCTGCTTCCCCTCCTGGCCTGTTATCTATAATGAATAAAATTCAAACTTCGAAACATTGATCCCACACCATTCCTCCTACCTTCTAGCTTTTCTTCCTTTATATCCCCGACATATTCAATGCTCCAGTGACACAGAACAGCCTCTTGTTAGCCTTAACTTGTATAAGATTTGCTTGACCACCAGATTGCAAGTCCCTCTAGATCATAACCTGGGTCTTACTTGTTTGTGTTTTTTATCACAATAACCACCTCTGGACCAGTTGTGGTAAATGTTCCAGAAACATTTAATCCAGTTCACAGTCTTAAGAAACAAATCATTGGATTTGAGAAATGTTTTCTCAGTGATACTATCTTCCCCATTTCCTTGCTTACTGAAGATTACGTTTTATTTAGTATTGTTAGGAGAATTTGCTCCCAGAAGAGTTCTATGTATTCTGTTTAATGGAATGAGCAGCATTTGCATGTTTTGGTTGGGATTTTGTCAGATGTGTTGCAGCACATCTTCGTCTTTTCACAAGGATGAACATTTGAAAAGTTTCTGAAAGAATTTCCTCTCCCTCCTTGTCTCCCTCTTTCCCTTCCCTCTCCCTTCTTCTTTCTCTTCCTCTACTTTTTTGTCCTCCTCCTCCCCCTCTTCTGTGTCTGCTTTTTGTAAATGAAGTTATAAGGCCTTAAATGTTGCTTCAGGGATTTCAGGTTGCTGGTCAATATATAGCTGAAACAGGACAGCTAGACCATCTTTTTTTTCTCCTCCTGGTTCACCAAGTTAATTTTAGTTCTCATGAGAGGGTAATACTAAAATTGTTAAGAGACGTTAAGTAGCATGCTTTCAAGTTTGAGATTATTTAATTTTATGCAACCTATTTTAATAAGGAGCCCCTGGTGGCACATTGGTTAAGCACTCAGCTACTAACAGAAAGGTTGGTGGTTTGAACCCACCAGTGGTGCCACAGGAGAAAGGACCTGGGGATCTGTTTCCATAAAGATTACAGTCTAGGAAACCCTATGGGGCAGTTCTCCTGTGTCCTGTAGGGTCACTATGAGTTGGAGTCGACTCGACAGCACACACAACAGCAACATTATTTTAATGAATTCTGACATTTTGGCACCTTCATTTGAAATAAACTACTAAAATGACCTTTTGCAAGGGCCTGACAGAGTTTTCCCAAGGCCGAGGTTTTCCCTGACCTGCCTTCTCCCCCTCATTTCTGTACTCTGCTTTCACCTGTTGTTTTTTCCTAGGTTAAACCAACCATGGTAATGTGGATTGGGGCTGAACTTGATCTCAGTCTGACTGAATTACAGCTAGGGGTTTCAGAACATGTGGTGATTCTCAGAAGAATTTGGACCACCTTCACCAATGTTAAGCCCGGTTAAAAGTACAAGGAGAATTGGGATGAACTCCTATTTCTCTAACATTAATTTTCCATCCTTTTCTGGTATACCTTTAGAAGTTCTGTCTTTGTCAAGAACGTAAATGTATCCACTAAAAAATTCAATGCATCTTTCATTAAGCTAAGAGCAATTCAAGGCTATATGCCCAGTAGGTGTTCAATTCTTATTAACAGTGACGAACAAAGCCTCCCAGTGCTGATTCTCATTGATATCGTCTCAAGAATAATGTATTTCTCTTTGGCTGTCTTTTCCTCTTGCGTTAATACTGAAGGTTTCCTTGACTTCTGCTCTTGTGTTATCTATGGGGAAACTTCACTTCTCCTATGACACTGGAAAATATTACCTTCTTATGAGAGGTAACCCCAAATCCCTGGCTACTAATTTAAGTTATATACTTATTTCTTTTAGCAGTTTTCAATTATCCCAAGGAGATTTATAAGGATTAACTGGTTCATCTTTCCATCTTTAGTAAGTAGCATTAACCCCAATTTACAGAGGCTAAGAGAAAATACCTCAGCGTCTCACAGTAGATAAGGATCGTTTGAGGATTTAGATGCTTGCCACATTTTTCCATTACAGACCATAGCATGAATGTTGACTGGTGCACTCAGGGTGTGTGAATGTTGCTGTCCCAGGGAGGATTTGACCTTGATGTAGGGAGTTTTCTTGTTGTAAGAAGAGCTCTGTGAGTCCTGGAGCCTGGTGTCAGCTCGCTCACCAACCAGGTCTATATTTATCTCATTTTACAGATGAGAAAAATGAGACTCAAACACCAAAAAAAAAAAAAAAAAAAAAACCCAAATCCACTGCCATCCATCGAGTCCATTCTAACTCATAGTGACCTTGTAGGACAGAGTAGAACTGCCCTATAGGATTTCCAAGACAGTAATCTTTACAGAAGTAGACTTCCACATCTTTCTCCCCAGAGCGGCTGGTGGATTTGCATTGCCAACCTTTTGGTTCACAGCTGAGCACTTTAACCATTGTGCCACCAGCGCTCCTTTGAGAGTATAATAGAAAAGACTAATAGAAATATTTACTTTGTTGACCGCATGGGGCTGCTGTGAGGATCAGATCAATAGTGTAAATAACAAGACTTTATAAACTGCCAAATCCTATGTAGTTGTATTATAATGTATAGCTTTGATATAATGATTTCTATTTTATATATAGCTTTGTAGTGTTTCTATAATTTCTTATTATCTGAAGCCTTTGTTGTATGTAGCTTGAAACTTTTTGTATTTACTTTAGAACAGAATTCAGTAAGGGCAGGTGGTAGTTAGACTCTATTGAAATTACTAAGGTCCCTGGGCGGCTCAAATGGTTTGCGCTCGACTACGCACCTAACCCTGCACCATGCTCACAGTCGTTATGCTAAAAAATGGCAGGGGACCGGGCAGTGTTTCGTTCTGTAGTACGCAGGGTCGCTCTGAGTTGGAACCAATGCGCCGGCGCCTAACAACAACTCACCTAAAGGTCAGCAGTTCAGACCCACCCAGAAGCCTGGCAATGTGCTTCCATAAAGATGACAGCCCAGAAAACCCTATGGAGCGCATTTCTACTCTGTGTCACATGGGGGTTCCATAAGTTGGAATCAACTCGAGGGCAACAGGTGTTTTTTTGTTTGTTTTGAAAATGTTGAAATGCCAGGAATAATCTCACTTCACATGTGTTCTGTAAGAGAAGCCCCTCAAGCCAAATAATATAGTAAAATACAAGACTAGAAAATCAAAGATAAAGTTAAATTAACACTGTTTCTGTTTTGTCTGAGCTTTAATTCAGAATATAGAAACATAAGAAAATGAGAAAAAAGTAAATAAAGAAGCTCATGCACTCATTAATAACAAGGTTTGTGGATGAGTGAGAAGGAAGCCATGTGTATTTGCCTAATTAGATGGATTGGAGTCAGCCAGCATCGAAGGCTCATTTCCGGTTTCACTGAGAAAGCTTTCTTAAGGTAGAATTTACGAGTATTTGAGTAATTAGGCAGTAGCTGAGGAAACCTGGATTTGTGTAAGGTTCTCTTGAGATATTTTCCCTTCTTACTCTCAGATACAAAAACCCCCCCGTGGGATTAGAACCAGTGGAGCTACTGTATCTGAAATAGTTTCTCTTTGTAACATTCTCTGTAATGCTGGTGGAACTTGTGCCTCCATTTTCCTCATGATCTACAGATATTAGTCATATATCCATGTTGCTCTTGTGTGTGCATGTGTGTGTATATCTGCCTTTGAATACCACCTTCCACCACCAGTTGCCATCAGGTTGATTCTGACTCATAGTGACCCCATGTGTGTCAGAGAAGAACTGCACTCCATGGGATTTTCAATGGCTGATTTTTCGGAAATAGAGAGCCAGGCCTTTTCTTCCAAGCTGCCTCTGGGTAGACTCAAACCTCCAACCTTTCAGTTAGCAGCTGAGTGCATTAGCTGTTTGCACCACACACGGAATGTAGCGCTTGCAACTAGGTGTAGTAAATTCTGCTAGAGGGCCCTACAGGCCTGGGGATGAATTGCTGCCCTGAGAGTGGGGTATGAGAAATTTCTAGAGAACTTGCATTAGTCTCTGTCAGATTCGCTTTGTAGGATTCTGATTGCTGGTTTCTCCTAATGAGGCTTCTGTCTGTCTTAGACTCCTGGTCTGTGCCTGCCTTGAACTCTGAGATTCCTCAGCTCTCACCTTGCTGCTATAACTCCTGACTTCTCATCTCTTCTGACCTCTGGTAACTGCTTACTTCTTACCTTCTTTCGTGTACATGGGTGTCTGATCTACTGTGCTTTCTGTTTATGTTGTTTAAAATTACAAAACAATGCGTATGTGTAATGTATCCTTCTAGATATACATATTTAAAAAAATGGGATTGTATTATGCATATTATTCTGTAACTTTCTTTTTTCCCTTTGAAATTTATCTTGGAGCTCTTTTCCATGTCTTTCCATGTAAATCCTCCTCATTCTCTCCAACTTCTGCATAGAAGTTCCATACGGAGTGGAGTATGGTATACTTAAACCAGTTCCCTGTTGATAGACTTTGGATAGTTTCCAATTTTTATTATAAATTATGTTGTTGATATATATCTTTGCACACTAGTGTGAGTCTAGCATGGGAATAAATTACTTGTGGAATTCTCAGGTCAAAGGATTTACACATTTAAAATTGATAGATTAAAAAAAAAAGAAAAAGGATAGATACTACAATTTGGCCCTTCAAAACAGCCTGAAAAAATTTACAAATTCCTCCAACAGTGAATGTAAGTACCTATTTATCCATACTGACACCAGCAATAGATATTATACCTTCTATTTTCAGAGGAACATCAATTTAATTTGCATTTCCCTATATTTCTAGTGAGACTGCACATTTTATTAGATGTTTATTGGCCTTATCCAGTTTTTGCCCAGTCTATGAATTGTTTATTTACAGCCTTTATTTATTTTTATTATGTTGTCTACCTTAGCAATTTTCAAGAATTGTGTTTGTGTCATGGATACTATCCCCCCCCCATTATTTTATTGCAAATATTTACCCCTGTTGCTGTAATTTTAACCTTGTTTATGGTACCCGGCCCACATTCTAATCTGATCTGTCTGGATTTTTGCCTTGGGACCTCTTTTCCACTGTCACTCAAATTCCTGAAATGAGAGTATTCTGGAAGTAAATGAAGGGGTTCATAAGCTGAGAACATGTGCTTTTAGGATGACATATTCTCCCTGGTAGCTGTTCTTAAAGGGAACCTTAAGAGTCTGAGGAACCCCTAAGTTATATGTTATTCTGTCCCAATGAATAGACACTTTTTGAAGAACTTGGCCATGTATGTATGCCTGTATGTATATATATGCAGTAAAACCTGCTAAAGCCGGAGCCTGTGTAAGGTGGAAACCTGTCAAAGAAGGAAAACTCAAATATTTCCCACTAATAGAGAGCAATAGAAAAGTGGTAAGACTGCACCCTGTGAAAGGCAGAAAACTTGTGAGACCTGGAAGAACAAGGCAGTCCTGTCATGTTCCGGCTCTCACAGGTTTCACTGTGTGTGTGTGTGTGTGTGTGTGTGTGTGTGTGTGTATATACACACACATACATATACATACATCTATATACACAGAGAGTGTGCCGAGAGAAAGAGAGAGAGAGTGAGAAAGAAAGCGAACGTGGGAAAGGAGAATGATAGATGTCGATATGTACACACATGTTGATTTGATGCTGTTTTCTAGTGAATGAAGAAACCGTGACTTTTGCCTGTGAGTCAGATGAAGTTTTCTGAGCTGGCCATTTATTATAGTGGTGTTTTTAACTTGTTCCCATGCTTCTAGATTCAGTTGGATCTGTCAGCATAAACTGTGTTCCTTCTGGAGTCTGCAGGTTTATTGATTGAAATCCTAAACGTATGGAGCAATTTTCTAAAATATTGATAGCCATCAGAGGTAGAGTCATAGCATTTAATAGAATCAGAAAATTGTTTATCTAGGAAGCCCTTAATCTCCAGTATAATAGAAACAGGCCTACATGGTGACGGACTGGTTCATTTCTCCTACAGACATTTGTTGTGCCCTGCTGTGTTCCGGATACCAGGGATATAAAGGTGACCAAGACAAGGACTTTGCCCTGTCTTAGTATGCTAAGACAGTCAAGGGCTCAGCTGCTAACTGAAATATCGGTAGTTCAAACCTACCAGCAGGTCTGCTGGAGAAAAGACCAGGTGATCTGCTCCTGCAAAGATTACAGCCTAGGAAACCCTATGAGGCAGTTCTAGTCTCTCCTATAGGATTGCTATGAGTTGGAATTAATTCGAAGGCAAACAGTGATGAGAGGGGGAGCGATTGATAAGTAAGCATATACTAGAGTGCACACAAGATGTGGGAACACAGAGAAAGTAATGCTAAATCTGAATGGAGGAGAAGAGGTTTTGGAGAATCACTGTGCAGTTGAGCTTTGAATTTGGCCTTGAAAAATGAGCTGGATTTTACCAGCAGGAGAATAAAGGAAAAGACATTTGGGATAACATTCCAAGAATTGCTGGAATGTGCAAAGGGCCAAGGCATGAAAGAACATGGTGAGTTTGTGGAATGTGTGGCTGTTGTACCAGGTGCGTGCTGGCATTGGAAGCCAGAGAGCTGGGTGAGTGGGCTGGGTTGTAAAGATTCCTGTATGCCATGCTGAGGAATTCAAACTTTATCCTGGATGTAGGCCTTAGAGGTCTTGTACAAGAGACAGACAAAATCAGCATTTTGGTACAGTGTTAGTGGTTGGTGGCCTTGAGCAGGCCCAGACCCCACTGGAAGGTCTTCGCAGTGGCCCAAGTCAGAGATGTTGCATGCCTGAGAAGCAGCAGTGAAAATGTGAAGAGAGGAAGGTTAGAGATTTATTTAGAAAATAGAATCAGTAGGAACTGGTGAGCAAATTGAGAGGGATGAGACCGACGGTGGGACATGAGTGAGGGGGAGGGGGAAGATAAGTAGAACTCTAGAATGAGTTAGATTGAGTGACCAGATAGTCACTGAGGCTCTTAACCAAAATAAGAACTAAAGGAAGAAGAATAAACTTGACTTCACTTTGGGACAAAGTGACTTGGATTGAGGAATGTCTAGGTCATGGTGCCCAGTTACTGGGTGAAAATATCAGACAAGAGCTCCAAGAAAAGATCAGGGCTAGATGTCTACATATGTTAAGCCAACTGCATGCTAGACACAGCTGTAGAGAGTAAATGAGATTGTCTAGGAGAATATATGTATTGAAAAGAGAAGCGGCTCTCTTGAGCAGCACCAATATTTAAGAAGATGGGTCCCTAGGATGTAAATAATACAAAGCAGAGATATTTGTTTTGTTGACTTATATGTCCCAAGCAATCTATAAATACTTCTTAAATGAGTGCAGGGTATGGGAGATGTCATCAATGGAGTCTGAGAGGGAATCATCAGACATAGGGGAGGAGAACGGGCATTAAACGGTGTGGCCAGTCAAGGAGGTATTTTCGAGAGAGAGAGATTGGTAGAGAGTATCAAATGCTAGTGTGAGGTAAGCTCGGGGGAGGACTGAAAACTTTCAATTATGAGGCCATCAGCCTTTAAGAGAGTGGTTTCAGTTGGATGAGGAAGGTATGGAAACGGGAAGTGAAGTTTCGGGGAAATGAAGTTTCAGGGAAGTGAGGAATGCATGGAAAAGAAGACAGCAAGGATAGTACCTGAGTGGCTATCTGGTTGCAGAATTGGAAATGAGCCTTATTTGGATTATGGAGAGGAATCTTGCCACTTGCTATGCTTAAACAACAAAATCTATCAGGCTCTGCTTTGATCCATGACAGTGGTTCTCAAAGTGTGGTTGCCAGGCTAGCAACATCAGCCAGCATCACCTGGGAACCTGTTAGAAATGCCAACTCTCAGGTTTTACCCAGACCTTTCAAATCAGAAACTCCGTGGGTGGTAAGGAGCATTCTGGGTGATTCTGATACACACTACAGTTTGAGAACCACTGGTCTAAGATATAATTTTGAGAAAAATTAGTGCAGTTGAGCTAATTTGCGTCTGAAGAGTGAACTTCTGAGTTCCCTAACTAAGAGCCAACATTTACGGGAGAAACCTCTCAGAGAAGAAAGGAAGCTCTTTGCCCTTGTGTCTGAGATGGAGCTGGGGGCTCGGCTTTCATTTATGCTGATAGAAATAGGAGCTGAACTGCCTTACTTCTATCCTGCTCTGAGCCTCTAACTTCTTGTCGCAACATAAAACAATATTATCTAAGAATAATACTCCAATAGAATGTGGTTTTACTTTTATTTAAGGCCTGGAATTCCCTGGCTCGCTTTTTCTGTATTAAAATTCCTTCTTATATTTTTATCTGTGATTGGCTACCAGGGTGCAACTGTTGAAAGAAATGGAGACACTGACAGATGTTTCCCCTGATACTACTGCAAGGTTATCAAAACATTTGTTTTTGTCCTCCCAGGTCTGTGAGCTGGATATTATCTTTAATTTTGAAAAGGCATATTTTATCCTGGACGAGTTTATAATAGGTGGAGAAATTCAGGAAACATCTAAGCAGTCTGCTGTGACGGCCATCGAAGACTCCGATATGTTACAGGAGGTTAGTACACAGTTTAGCATCCCATGGATGGGAGAGGGAGGAGAAGATGATGATGATGATGATGATGATGATTATAATGCAGTGAAACCTGTGAGAGCCAGAACTCAACAGGACCACCTGGTTTTTCTGGGTCTCGTAAGTTTTCCACCTTTAACAAGGTACAGTCTTACCACTTTTCTGTCTCATTTTAATGGAAAATATTTGAGTTTCCCTTCTCTGACAGGTTTCCACTTAAACAGGTTCCGGCTTTTGCAGGTTTTACTGTATTAGGCAACATTATTGAGTACTTAAACCCCTGGGATGGTGCAAACAGTTAACACACTTGGCTACTAACCGAAGGGTTGGAAGTTCAAGTCCACCCAGAGGTGCCTTGGAAGAAAGGCCTCATGATCTACTTTGGAAAAAATCAGCCACTGAAAACCCTGTGAAGCACAGTTCTACTCTGACACACATAGGGTCAACATCAGTTGTAATTGACTAGACAACAGCTGGTATCGTGTAATTGTGTACGTACCATATTTTTATGCAAATAACGCGCACCTTCTATGTTTGTTTTCCAACTGCGCCCTCCTCCATGAGGTATTTTCGTAAGTGCTGCTATGCCAATTTTTTTTTACGTGTTGCTGTAAAAAATTAGCGTTAGTGCACTTATAAAAATACCTTGCAGGAGGAGGGCACCGCTGGCCAACAAACATAGAAGGTGCATGCTATTTTTGTAAAAATATGGTACTCTGTCTCAGGCACAGTTCTAAACAAAGTATTAACTTATTTAATTCTCATGACTACTCTTAAGAGGTTGATAGTATTATTACCCTTGTTTTACAGATAAGTAAACCGAGTCACAGAGAGCTTAAATGACCTGCCCCATATCACAAAGCTAGTAAGTGTGTAATAGGGATTTGAACCGAGGCAACTGGGCTCCAGAGTCTTCGCTCTTCATTTTTGGTTGAGCTTGTTAGTCAAGACACCTCACTGTCAAAAGAGATATCAAAAGCTTGGGGCTATTATTTTCAAGAATAATTTTCTGAGATGTATAAAAAGACTTTCATCAGAAGATCTGTGATGCCCTGACAAAGAATAGCAGCACTTCATTATTTCATTGGCCAGAGATATTAGAGCTTTATTATTGAAGATAGCATTTATCATTTTAATTAAAATTTCTTTAGCCTCCTGGGGAGGCTGTATGTGTGCTCCTGCTTGCATAAATAAATTGGGAACAGTGTAGCTTTATTGCTAAGGTATGAATGGGCCCTGAAGCACCGATTTGGACCTGCTCTTGACTCTCCATGATTCTTACATGAAATGCAACAGGATTTTCTTTTAAAGCAGCCAGATTTGCACCAGACCTAATAAAAGAACTTACTTATGCCCATTCCATCCTCTCCAAGGACACTGTGAGGAAAAGTTCTTCCCCCTCATGACCTTTTTCCTTGGAAATGAGGTGATCTGACTATCCTTAGACCAACGGGCCATCAGAGAGCCTGGGTTCCATCCAACTCTGCCACTTCAAAGTACTTCTTCCCACAGCATCAATGGGTTTTTCTAGCTTCCCATTTATACAACAGGGTCCCTGGGTGGTACAAATGGTTAACATGCTTGGCTACTCACTTCTGGGAGGTTTGAGTCCACCAAGAGGCACCCCGGAAGAAAGGCCTAGTGATCTACTTCTGAAAAAAATGAGCCATTGAAAACCCTATGGAGCACAGTTCTACGCTGACACACATGGGGTCGCCATAAGTTAGAATTGACTCGACAGCAACTGGTGATATTTTCTTAATAGCAAGATCAGAGGATCTAAATGATTATAAAGTACCTTTTAGAAATTGATGTTAGAAGCCATTCTTCCTACTGTTTGGAAGGAAGAGACTGATACAACAATCTAAATTAAAACAACAGTAGACATGATTTCCCAACAACTTTTTGGTATGTCTTTGAGCTGATTATTTGCTGTGCCTACCAGAGGAATCAGCCTTTAGGTGAGTGGATGTTGAAAAAGATGTCTATTTGAGTAGGTGCCTGTAAGAGTCTGTGTGTGCCTATTTGTGATGGTTAATGCTATGTGTCAACTTGCCTAGGCTGGATTCCCGGTATTGTGTGGTTGTCCTCCATTTGTGCCTCCATTTTGTAATGTGTTGTAAATCCTAAGCTCTATATGTTAATGAGGCAGGATCAATGTGGATTTTTTTTTTTTGTATCTTGAATCACAGCCTTACAAGGGTATGACTTAAGTCACACTCTGCTTGAGTCACACCTTTTATCTTACAAGAGATTAAAAGGAGAGAGAAGCAAGCAGAGAGGAGGGACCTCATACCACCAAGAAAGAAGAGCGGGAGTGGAGCGTGTCCTCTGGATCTGTAGTCCCTGCACTGAGAACCTCAGAGGAAGATTGATGCTGAGACACATGGAGACCTCCAAGGAACACTGGGCCCACAGATGTTGAAAGGAGACAAGGACCTTCCCCCAGAGCTGATAGAGACAGAAAGCCTTCCCTTAGAGCTGGTGCCCTGAATTCAGATGTCTAGTCTGTACAGTTGTGAGAGAATAAATTTCTGTTTGTTAAAGGCATCCGCTTGTGGTATTTCTGTTATAGCAGCATTAGATAACTAAGAATTTGGTACCAGAAGAATGGGGTGCTGCTCTAACAAATACCTGAAGTATAGAAGCGGTTTTAGAACTGGGTAATGGGTAGAGGCTGGAAGAGTTTTAAGGTGCCTGATAGTAATAGTAAAAGCCTGGAGCCCTGGTGGCACAGTAGTTAAGAGCTCGGTTGCTAACCAAAAGGTTGGTACTTCAGATCCACCAGCTGCTCCTTGGAAAACCTATGGGGCAGTTCTACTGTGTCCTGTAGGGTCACTATGAGTCAGAATCGAGTTGATGGCAGTGGGTTTGTTTGTTTGTTTTTCATAGTAAAAGCCTAGATTGCCTTGAAGAGACTGTTGGTGGAATTATGGACGTCAAAGGCAATTCTGGTGAGGGCTCAGAAGGAAGTGAAGAGAGCTGTAGAGAAAGTCTCTATCATCTTAGAGAATACATATGACACGAGCAACAGAATGTTGCTAGAAATGTGAACATTAAATGTGCTTCTGGTGAGGCTTTAAAAGAAAATGATGAATATGTGATTGGACAGTGGAGGAAGGGTGATGCTTTTTATGCAGTGGCAAAGAACTTGTCTGAATTATGTTCAAATGTTCGGTAGAAGGTAGAACTTGTAAGTGATGAACTTGAATATCTGATGAGAGTTCTAAGCAAGATCTTAAAGGGGGTAGCATGGTTTGCTCCTTGCCGCTTATAGTAAAAGCTAGAGGAAAGGATGGACTTAAAAATGAACTGTGCAAAATGAAAACAGAACTTAAAGATTTGGAAAATTCAGTTGTACAAACTGTCTAAGAGTTAGAACACGTGCTCTGTTAAAAATAAAAGCAAAGAGATTTATTGAAGGTTCAAGACAGTTCAAACCGGCGACATGTCTGATCTCACAAAGTGAAACCAAATACTCCAATATGATGGAGCTACAGATACATTTTTATGAGGTTGCAAGATTGGGTAAGCAGGAGATAGGACAACTCAAAGCAGGGGCTTTGCAGTGATTGTTTGGAAACAAGAATGTGGGCTGCTGGGATTAGTTAGTTTAAATACATGACTAAAGGGGATTTTACAGGGTGGTCACAAGGTGATTAAAACATTTCCTGCATGCTGCTGGGGATTTTTTTTTTTTTTCTTTTTTCTTTCCTGAGCGACCTGGGAGGGCCCTGTACGACCAATGGACAACACTTCCGGTCTCACACCTTCCTCTACTGCCCAGATAGCTAGAGGTGCAGCCCTTCACAGTGGATGACAGAAAGTCCTCCCTTTTTTTTTTTTTTTATTATTATTGTA